TCTTTCTTTCTTTCTTTCTTTCTTTCTTTCTTTCTCTCTCCACCTCTGTCATCATCCGTCCCTGCCTCCTTGTAGCTCTGGTAACATCACCTCCTATCATTGTTCACTCAGGCAGCTAAAGGTTTTCTCCCTCTTACAGAGGAAGACAGGTTCTGGTTTAGTCCATCAGCTCTGTGTGGGAGTACACYGCCGCTCCTGTGATCCTGTACGTCCATTGTGGTGTCATTAATTGGACAGCTGTGTAATCAGCATGTTTGTAGGCGGAGGACGAGCAGCAGATGGTGAATGATCAGTGAGAATGGAGACAATGGAGTCTTTTACTTTTAGAGAGGCTGAAATGTGTGATTTTTAAAAGCTAAATCTGTGTTTTTTCAGTCCTAAATTGTAGAGAAAACACACAAAAACTGATTTAATGTGTAATAAGTGACGTGCAACAAGAAGAGCAGAAGCTTTAAAAGAAAGGAAACAAAACGTGTCTCTTTCTTAAACATTTTTAAACACTTTGCTAGTTGATAAAAACTTCCAGCTTCTATCATATGAAATGTTAGTTATATCCATAAATTATAGCCATTTTAGTATTGATTAGCTGTGGCAGCCATCTTGAATAGGATCAACTCCAAAAGTTAAGACAGTTTGAAAAGGAGGCTGTGTCCAAATTCAGGGGCTGCATCCTTCAAAGAWCCCAGCCTACCCGGTTCAGGTGGGCCGCATCCTTTGTCGACTACAAAGGCAGGAAGAAAGTGTCTGTGAATTTGGACGGTCTCGTCTCCTGCTTTCATCAAGTCGACCCACAATGCATCTTGGGATAGGGTGGGCCAGGAAGGAGCGGCAAGGAGGATGCATTTGTGGGCCGCAATCGGAAAAGTATTTGAATTTGGACAGCCTTCGGCATGGCGCAGTGATGTACGCGGCTGACAAATTCAGCCTCTGAAGGATGCAGCCCCTGAGTTCGGACACAGTTACTGATTAATGAATATTTCCTGAAAGTTTTATAAAAAATAAAAACCTGTTCAGTGGTTCCTGAGATATTTTGCTAACAGACAAACATGGTTGAATCCAACATTTAATGCTAAAGTTTTAAGCATCTTGCTCAACAAGTGGAGCCAAYAGAGAACATGTGTTGTCAATGACTCTCAGCTACTACCACACCAAATGTTAGCTCAATAATTGTAAAACTGCATTTTAGACATTTTTGTTTGGAATTTAAATTTAATTGGCCCAATAGATTATGAGATATTTTGCTAACAGACAGACGGAGCTGACTCTAAATAGTCAATGACAAAAATTTCTATAAGAATGTTACATAATTAGTTTAGCGTTGGTGTTTTTGTGTTCAGTCATCTTAACTCAGGTTGACTCCAGAATTTAAATCCAATGATTAGTTTCTGCAAGTTTCATTAAAATCCTTTATGTGGGTCGTGAGATATTTTGCTAACAGACACACACTMAAACAGCAACAAATAAATCCTAAAAACAAAGAGGTTGGCCCTCACCTCTGATTGGGTCCGAGGGGGGGATGCGTGGGTATTCCGGAGACGGACTTCCTCACCCCTCGGTCTTTCTCCGCTTCTCCTCTCCCTCCGGGTTCCCCTCCCGGTTCCCCTCCGTCCCTGGGCACGGAGCTGGCCCGTTTGGACCCGTGGCGGCGGTCCGAGTGATCCTCGCTCCGACTGCGCCGGATCCTGCCCTGCGGCTCGCTGATGCTTTTGCTGCGGCAGAGCCTGTTGATCACGTTCTGAGAGACGGACTCGTCGAAGCGCTGCCGGTGCTTCTTGGGGATGAAGATCCTGGCAAACATAGTGGCATGTGAGGGAGATTAATTTAAAGACTTAAAAATAAATACCTCAAAGGCCTCTTGGGRAAAAAAAACAAGTTGAATCTACATCTCAGTCCATTTGGTAAACCATCCAAATTTAGATTTGGAGAGATGTCAGGAGAAGAGAATAAACTCAACAGGGTTCCCCCCTCATGTCTGAGCTCAGAGGGGAGAAAAGAAAAGTTATTTTTTCCCACTGGCAGGTGGGGAGTGTCGATTTATCCCCCCGAGAAAAAAAGAAATTCTGCTGAATTCAAAAAAAGAGAGAATAAAATTCTAAAAGAGATCTTTGAGGAGTGAAGCGCTGAGGAAACCGTGGTGCCTGCTGGAGTCAGACTGCTGCAGAGTGAAAAATCAGAGCCAGAACACAGCAAATGAAAAAAAAAAGGTGTGGGAGTGAGCGAGCATGGGATTTCTCCTCCGCTGTCTCTATCTCTCTCCATCTTTAGCAACTCATTCTTGTTTCTCTCCCACACTTCCGTCCACAGCTCACCTCTGAGCCACTATGTTAAAAAAAAATAAAAAACTCAAAATCTAAATATTATATTTCATAACCACTCTATTGTCAAGACTAAATCTGTTGTGTATTTTTCTGTCAGTTTGGATGTAACATGGTGTTCTATGAAACACAAAGAGCCTAGTTCAGAGATTCTTAACCCATGGGCCGGGGCCCAATTGTGGGCCGCGAGCGCCACCTTGAGGGCCTCCGCAGAGGGCCGCAAGACCGCATTGATTTTGAATAAGGTGCAATACACTTTCTCACCACTAGTAGCGGTAGTGCGCCACTCAGT